ACTGTGACCCTGTCTCAAAACAAAAGCAGCCAGTATTCTGCTGCTGAGCAATCTCTGCTGCACCTCAGCATTCCTAATTAGATGAACCTAAAGCCCTCAAATTGTTACATTTATTTATTCATCGTTGGGGGGGGGCACTAGTGGATGTCAGAGAACAAATTGTGGGAGTGTATTCTCTCTTTCTACTACATGGATCTGGGGGATCAAACTCAGGGCATCAGGCTTGGTGGCAAACACTTTACCCACTGAGCCAGTTTACCAGCCGCACCCTGATTTTTTTTCTTTCTAGCAACATTCTGAAGATTGCTCCATATCAGTATGCAAAGAGATTTCTTGATCTACTTTATGCTGAGTAATAGCCCAATGTGTAGTTTTACCATAATCCTTTTTTTTTAATATTTATTTATTTATTTATTTATTATGTATACAATATTCTTTCAGCGTGTATGCCTGAAGGCCAGAAGAGGGCACCAGACCTCATTACAGATGGTTGTGAGCCACCATGGTTGCTGGGAATTGAACTCAGGACCTTTGGAAGAGCAGGCAATGCTCTTAACCGCTGAGCCATCTCTCCAGCCCCCTTACCATAATCCTTTAACTAACCTCAGATGAGCAGTTGGCTTATCCTAGGACGTTGAAGAACTACACCCCCCCCCATACAACTGTGGATAGAAGCACACGTTCATAACATCAAGAGTCACATCTCACTATATAGACAGTTTGAGGCCAGCCCGAACTTTACGAGACCCTGTCTCAAACTAATAACAATAAGAGTAATAACTTTGCCACCAAAGGCATAAACTGAAACTGGCTTGGCCAGAGTGGCATGTCTAATTGTCTAATTCTTGAGTGAGGAAAACAGGTTTTTCTTAACCATTTTTTTTTTTTTGATTTTCGAGACAGGATTTCTCCGTAGCTTTTGGTTCCTGTCCTGGAACTAGCTCTTCTAGACCAGGCTGGCCTCGAACTCACAGAGATCCGCCTGCCTCTGCCTCCCCAGTGCTGGGATTAAAGGCGTGAGCCACCACCGCCTGGCTTTTCTTAACCATTTTTTAAAATTTATTTATTTTATGCATATTTTACCTGCATGTATGTATTGTCGTTGTACCAGCACATGCAGGAGCCAGAGTAGGTCAGAATTGCTATCTGACCCCCTGAAACTGAAGTTACAGATGGTTGTGAGCCACCTTGTTAATGCTGGGAATCAAACCTGGGTCCCCTGCAAAAGCAACAAAAGATCTTGAGCTGTCTCTCCACTCTCAAACCAGAAGATTTCTGCTCTTGGAGACAGGATCTTGTGGTAGCCTCTGGGTGTCCCCAGTATACTCCCTGAGTTTGATGCAAATTAGGTGCTTAACATATGTGCTGGCCAAGTAGATGATCCAGGTATAGGGGGTGCTGAACAGTCCTTTTGAGGGCTCCACAAGACTCAGAGGGGGAAACTTTGCTGTTCTCTCAGAGTGCCACCTTTGATCTCTGCCACTGTTTATAATACCTGGCCTTCCTTACAGATATTTCCTCTGTGTACTGAGCGTTGTTGACCTTTGTCCAGAGCTTCTGATCATTTTCATAATGATGATTGAGGCCCACCAGCCTGAGCCCACACAGGCTGCCAACAGAAAGACTCTTCTTACCCCAAGTGTCCAGGTGTGGACATACCTTCAGATCCCAGCACTTGGGAAGTAGAGGCAAGAGGGTCAGGAGTTCAGGATCTACCTTGGATACATAGTAAATTCAAAGCCAGCTTTGACCCCTTGAGACCCTGGCTCAGAGAAGGAGGAGGAGAAGCCCTCTGCCTAACCTTCTCCTGGCTAGTGTCTTGGGCCTACTGGTCAGCAGCCTGCGATCCACCTCTTGTCTTTGGTGGCTCCCTTCCCCTGTTCCTCTCAATCACAATGCACAACTCCTTCTTTGGGTTGTCTTAGGGATGCCTGGCTCCTCAGTTTCCCTGTCTTTGGGGCCCCATGTGAACATGCTGTAGAAATTCAGAGGGAGGTCTATTGAAGATAAAGCCTGACCCCCATAATTAGTCTTTTCAAAGCCTCCCGCCTTCCTAAGTATTGCTAAGATGGATACACCTACTCAGCTGCTCCTGCCCACATCTCCCCTTCTATCCCAGTGGCATTCCCCGGGTGGCTGGAGTGGTGAGATTGGACCCCAAAGTCCCTGGCTGCAGAATGAGCCTCTTAACTTCTGGGTCTGAACTTTGGGATCAAAAAGATGAGGAGCTGCCAGAAAAGAAGCAGCAGGTAGAAGCCCTAAGCCTCAGTTTCCCTACCTGCAAAACGAGAGGGTTACATTTTATTTGATGATATCTGAAGTTATCCGATGCTGACTTTTCACATCTCCACCTCAAACTGTGGCTCTGAACAGGGCATGACCAAGTAGCCCCCAGCACCTGGCGGCGGCAGATGTCAACCCCAAAACCTCCTCTCCCCTTCCTTTCCCTTTTTCATCTTTTTTGTTCAACTCTAGACCCAAGAGTCTTGTGTAGATGTTTATCCAGGGTTGAGCCTTCTCTTCCTTCCAAGAGATGGGGCACCAGGAACAAACAGAGGCCTGGTCTATATGTTCTGAACATGCTGCAGATGCTTTTCCTGGGCCATCCCAGTCCTAGAGGCTGATGCAGAGAACTGAGCTCAAAAGAACAAGGAGAAGCTGAGTGTGATGGCGTCCACCCCTTTGTCCCCGGTGGTCAGGAGACTGAAGTGGGCGAATCACCAGAGCCTAAGAGTTTGGAAGCAGCCCAGGCAGCCTTTTAATTCCCAAATCCAGTTCCAGGGGATTCAGGACCCTCTTCTGACCTCTGTGGGCACCAGGCATGCAGGTGTTGCACATATGTACATACAGACAAAACACTCATATTTGAAAAATAATTAAAACTCAAAAACCCAATTAACTAATTAAAGCACCTGGGTAGTGGTGGTGCACATTTATAATCCCAGCATTTGTGAAGCAGAGGCAGAGGATTTGAGAGTTCCAGGCAGAGTTCCAGGAGAGCTTGGGCTTCACCATGAGACCCAGATTCAAGACAAAAACAAAACAAAGCAAAACAAACAAACCCGACACCAAATAAATACTAATTAAAAATTAATAGTAATAAATTTGTTAAGTTAAAATGGTGTGGTACCATAGTTCAATAGTAGAGAACCTATGCCAGTTCCTAGACTCAATTCCGAATACCACAAAAGATAAAGAAGCCGGGCATTGGTGATGCACACCTTTATTTCCAGCACTTGAGCGGCAGAGACAGACAGATCCTGTTTGAGGCCTGTCTGGTTTACAAAGTAAGTTCCAGGACAACCAGGACTGTTTTTTGTTTTTTTTTTGTTTTTTTTTTTTTTTTTTTTGGTTTTTCGAGACAGGGTTTCTCTGTGGTTTTGGAGCCTGTCCTGGAACTAGCTCTTGTAGACCAGGCTGGTCTCGAACTCACAGAGATCCGCCTGCCTCTGCCTCCCGAGTGCTGGGATTAAAGGCGTACCAGGACTGTTTTTACAGAGAAAGTCTGTCTCAGAAAAAAAAAAAAAAGAAAGAAAGAGAGAGAGAGAGAGAGAGAGGGAGAAAGAGAGAGGAGGAGGGGGAAAACCCACAAATCAACAAATCAATCTTGTTGATTTAAAAGCAAAGTGAGCTGGGTGTGGTGGCCACACCTTTAATCCCAGCACTGGGGACTGGCAGATCTTGGTAAATTCAAGGCCAGTCTGGTCTACTTAGTGAGTTCCAGGGTTCGTAATGAGATCTTGTCTCAAAAAAGGTAAATGTGGTTAATCCCAGCAGTCCAGGCAGAGGCAGGGGGTTCCAGACCAGCCGGAACTACATAGTGAGATTCTGTTTTATAACAAGGAAAAAGCAAATGTGGACAGGGAGGGGACTTACCATATAGATTTTATAGATCACTTCATTATCAGGTTTCTCTTCATTCCACCTTTTTAAAAAAATATTATTTTATCATGTGTGTGTATGCTGTGTTTTTGCAGAGGCCAGAAAAAGGTGTCAGATCCCCAGGACCTAGTGTGTAGCAGAGGGGTGTCAAACTCACTTTGTAGTAGAAGATGAGCTTGAACTTGTTACCATCTTAGTGCCTCCTGGGTACTAAGACTACAGGCATGGACCACCTTTCCCAGCTTACACAGTGCTTCGGCTCCAACTCCAGGCTTTGTGTATGCTAGGCAAGCAATGTACAGGCTGAGCCATATCCCGAACCATTTCCTCATTTGTCTGGACACCTTTCCCCTTGTGGTGGCAAATGACCCGCCATGCCTCCAAGTTCACAGATTACCATAGCTGCCCAGGAGTTTGTCCTTGTCAACAGTACTACATGCTTCCCTGCTGCAGCCTTAGTACCTAAGACGGAATGTTGAATGTATGTTCAACAAGTCTAGTTGACTAATTGGCTTTGGAGTGACTCCTGGGCCCATCTTCAACCCAGTGAATATGACTCACCTTACTTGGGCCACATGATGGGATCAGCGGCCCCTCCCCCCAAGATGGGCTGGAGTGGCTTCAGTTATCAGGAGGGGAGGGTTGTATGTAGAAACAATGCTCAGGATGCAGAGCTTGTTCTACTGTTCACAACACAGAGGTACAGTGAAAGCATGGTACCAGATATGCTGAACTCTTGAAGCCATGGTCATAGGATGACTCCCATTAGTAGAGGATGAGGATGGGCTTGTCTCTAGGACTCTGGGCTTCTTGCACTTCTATCAGATGGAGGACAGCATGGGTGGCCAAACAGATCAAAACCTTGGAATTCTTTCTAGACCAGAACAGGGAACAATTCTAGGCATGAGATCCTTCCAACCTGTTCCTCTCTAGGACTGGCAGACCTTAGCAAGGGGCCAGGTCACCTCAGCAAGCCCTGAAGAGCGTATTTGTGTGTGTGTGGCAGCTGGTTCACTTTACTCACTGATTTCTAAGCTACTCTTTCCCTCACAACTGGAACTCCCCATTCTACATTTGCTGGAACAGAGGTGGGTAAGCAACAGAACTTTCAGCAATGTTTTCCAAACATTTTATTAAGAATAAGGCATATGATAGTCACCCCTAAAGCACAGGGCTCTATTTCTGTAGGTGAGTGAATACACTCTGAAAAGCATTGGATTAAAAAGCGCAGCCAACAGAGAATTTGGAGCAGGATCCGTCTGCCCTGCATGTCTCCCATCAAGGCTGGCACATCACTGTGAAAGGATGCTTAGGAGACCCTTGGCCCCCTAAGTGAGAAGATGGTCCATACCATCTTTCCATCCACATCCAGAAAACTCTATCCTGCTGCTTGTAGAGGGATGAGCATCCCATTTTGGCCCAGAACTAGTCCCCCAAAGAACAGGTTGCCCTGGCAAGGACCCAGGGACAAGGGGTACAGAGCCTTGTACTGCATTGCTCACTCATTCCCGGATGGCGTCTTGAGCGTAGGACTCCAGCATAGTTCTTCCTTCTGGGTCTGTTTATACTTACGTTGTGCAGGAGCCCTCTTCCCTATGAGTGTCTGCATGAACCATCTCGGTCTCCCATTGTGGATATGTACAGCAAACAAATGAAACGGGTCATTCCTGGTATTTTCCCTTGACCAGGTAGATTGCTATGGCCAAGTCCAGGAAGGGAATGGGTGCAAGTTAAGGGCAAAGCCTGTCCCAAACTGGGAAGGCAGAGGGTGCCCTTGCCTGTAGATCACTGAAGGGGCCTTTCATCATTTCCAGAAGAGGGAGGGCTAAGGATATCCGGTAAACACTGGAATCGCGCATCTGCCTAGGCCTCCATCTCACACCCTCACTGCAGGAAGAGTTGCATTACTTCCTTCCCCCACCCCAAGACCTCAAATGGGAGTCAGATTTTTCATCTGGGAAATCTTCAAGCACCTGGCTTTTGGAAGAGGAACAGGATTTGGAAGGTGTTGGCAGGGTCACTTGAGGAAAGACAGGCAGGAAACTGTTGGATCCCTGGGGACAGGGTGTGATGGAGCCAATTGAATATCCTGGGTGCCCAGAAGGGAAAGCGAAGAGGGCTATTGCTATAGTTTAAAGGGGAGCTAATCGGGGTGCTATGGCTTTTAGTGGATGGGTGGATGGATGGACAAGAAAGGGATCTCTCTAGAAAAATCAATAAAGTCACACTGTTCACCCCAAAAGTATGGTCGTAGGAAATGTAGGTCTGTGTAGGCCCCTCCCACTGTCCTTTGGACACCTCCAAGGGAGCATTGTGAGAACCTCATACAGGCAGGTTCCAAGTGGGGAGGGTGGCAGGATAGGGCAGTGAGTCACACAAAATTGAAAGGATTAACAAGTGGTACAGGTACAGGTATTGCCACTGGAGTGAAGGGTAGCGGTCAGGACCTAGTGGGAACTCCAGGATTCTACTTCTGTGATCCAGCTCCCAGGAGCTAGACAGCTCAGTCTTCGTTATCACTCAGTGGCCTCAGCTGTCTTTCAAGGAAGGGAGAGCTGGGAGGGGTCTGTGTACAGAATCAGGTTGGAATGTGCTCACTGCCTTCTGCTTCCTGTAAAATTCCTGCTTCCTCTTCAAGAAGAGGGCATAAGCCAAGAGTTCATTTTCTTCTTGGTGGCCATCACTAGTTTGTCAACTACAGAGACTGACTCTGCTCACCTTAAGACCTTGGGTGACACATACAATGTGGTGCCTTAGCCAGGGCCAGGACATGCTAGGGCCCAGTGACTGAGTGGGAGAGGCATCCTTGCTCAGCAGCCCCAGGGAAGACCTCACAGGCACTTAGGACTCAATGCAGGTCAGACAAGAGTGGTGGAGTGGGGGCTCTGGTACAGAGCCTATGGTGAGCTGGATTGAAGCTTCCTCCTGCCTTTGGTAGTGATGGGAACTGGGAAGAAGGGGAAGGTGCCAGCATTCTGGTCTCCTTGCAACTCCCCACTAAGAGGGAGAGCACAGGACCACCCCACCTTTTCAGGGGTGGGCACCGCCGAGGACTAGCCAGTCTCCACTTTCCTCCCCAGCAAAATCAAATTTATATGGATAGCTGCCACTTCCAAGAAGCCAGGCCCTTCTTCCTGTTTCTGGATGCAGCCAGGTGCTTGGGAAAACGGACAAGATTATAGGATTAGCACCTATAACAGGACTGGGAAATCTCTGAGGGGGCCTCAGGAACAGAAGGGCAAAAGACCCTCTGCCTTCACCAAAGTTTGAGCCCCAGCTTGTTATCTCCTGCCCCCCTGCATGGCAGACCTGGGAAGAACCATTCAGTTCCTCTTCCACGACCCGCTTCAAGGGTTTATGCTTACTGTTTTCTGGAAGTCAACTGCCACCAGGAACCCCGCAGCTCTGAGAGGACGTGACTTCTAAAATAGATCCTAAAGTGTTCCGTGCTCACCTTCAAGGACTTATCAGTGGGGTGGGGTGGGGAGTAGCTACTTCCGAGTACACGAGCTAGCTCCTAAACTTGCCTCTCCCGAGCAAAAGGCTGGGCAGGGCTGGGGGTGAAAAAGCAGGAAAGGGGAGCTTGCAGGCCTAGCGGTGCCAAGTGCCACCGTGTTCCTTCCTGTAGGCACAGACTTCTCCCGCCCTGCAAGGGATTGTCAATTTTCCAGGGACCGACAAGACCCCGCCCCTCCCCCTCCCAGGGCCTGGGTGGGACCCAGATTAGGGTTAATACCACCAATCCGCCACAAAAAAAGGTGCGATCCTTTGGCGCTCCCTCTACAAAGGAGCTCCCTCTCCGGAGGGGGCAGCTCATCTCGGGGAAACACACAAGCGGGGGGCAGCTCTAGTGGGTGGCGGAGCTGGGGCGGTTCTGCCGGTTTGACTCCGCCCCATCCCTGATCCCGCCCAGCCGGGCCTGCTCTGGCAGTCGCCACTGCGCGCCCAGCGCCTACTCAGGATCCCCTAGGGCGCTGGGCGTGGCATCTGGGCTCTCAACGGGCCCCCGGTGCGGGCCGCCTTGGTTCGGGGACTCCCGGTGTGACACGGGGTGCGGGGCGTCTTGGTCCCGCAGCTCCTGGCGTGGGAGAGGGCGCGGGCCGCGGGGGCTGGGTCGTGGCGGCCTCCGCGGGTATAGAAAGAGAGCGGGGTCCGGCATGGGATCGGTGTCGTCCCAGGTCGCCCAGTCCCGGCCCGGCCCCTTGGCGGCCGCCTCGGGAGGGCGGCGGGCCCGTTGTGCGCGTCGGCGGGGCCGGGTTTCGGCGGCAGCGGCGCCGGGGCGCGGGGCCTGCAGTCTCTGGCGCGCGGCGTGCAGCTGGCAGGAGAGGTAGGCGGCCGCTTCGGTGTGCTTCTGCAGCTCGGTGCCCAGCACGGTGGCGCGGTGGCTGCGGCGCCGCAGCTCCTCCAGAAAGCGGCGCTCCTCCGAGCGCAGGCTGCAGCGCAGCGCAGACACCAGCGCCTCCCGCTGCGCCACCTCCCGCCGCAGCTCGGCGTTGGCCGCAGCTCGCGCCTCCAGCTGTGACTCTAGCGCGCGGCACTTGTTCTCCAGCTCCCGGGACGCCTCTTCTGTAGAGGAGGGACAATAAGGGGAAGGGGGCGATGATGCCCCCCGAGGGAGTGAAACGTAATTTAGAGGGCTCAGCGCGCCCCTCCCCCCTCCGCTCTTCCGCCTCAAACTTCAGCCACAGGGACTTTAGCCCTGACCTACCCTCCGCGTCAAATTCTTCGGCTTAAGCGCAAAACCCTGATTGTTCATTTGTAAGCAATCGTTAATTTGTAAGCAATCTGTTGGGCTTTGAGTCTCCGCGCCCTGTGCTCTCAAGAAGCAGGCAGCGCAGTATAGTGAATAACCACAAACGTCAGGTTACCAGTGTGACATGTGTCACAAAGACAAATTCTAATTAGAATAATTAGAATCCTCTTATTCTAAGGGGGATGTGATGCCATCAGGGAAGGAGAGGCTTGAGAGCTAGGGTGAACAGCTCCTCCCCGCAAAGAAGGGTACTCCTGGAGGGGACCCAGCTTGGGTGTGCAAAAGCCCTGTGACAGGAAGACATGTTAAGAGCTGGGGCTGAGAAGTACAGGAGGTGGTGGTGGGTGTCCTTTTCTTTACCGAACACATATCCTATTTTGTGAGTTCTTTTTGCTGACTGGTCTAGTTTTTGCCATTGCCTTCACCAAAGGAGTTAGCCATAGACACACATCAGAACAATGCAAAGAGTTTTAACTCAAGCTGTTTCCCAGGCCCTATCAAAGACTGTTTAACTTGGAACCCCTGGAATTGGCCCTAGAAATGACACCTCTGAAATCTCCCCAGGTGATCATACAGAGTCAGGGCTGAGGGCCCCTCTTCTTGGACCTTACTAACCATCTACGCCTGGGACTTGGCACACAGAGGCAAAAGGGGATATGTTCCCATTTATTTATTTATGCATTTATTTATTTGAGACAGGCTTTCTCCGTAGCTTTTTTGTTTGTTTGTTTTTTGAGACAGGGTTTCTCCGTAGCTTTGGAGCCTATCCTGGAACTTGCTCTGTAGACCGGGCTGGCCTCGAACTCACAGAGTTCTGCCTCCTGGGTTCTGGGATTAAAAGCGTGCCCCACCACCGCCCAGCAGGGATATGTTCCTTACAGCTCAGTGGCTTGAGCTCCGATGACCCCAAAAGCCCCCCCCCCTTTTTAAAAAATATTTATTTATTATGTATACAATATTCTGTCTGCATGTATGCTTGCTGGCCAGAAGAGGGCACCAGACCTTATTACAGATGGTTGTGAGCCACTATCTGGTTGCTGGGAATTGAACTCAAGATCTTTGGAAGAGCAGGCAATGCTCTTAACCGCTGAGTCATCTCTCCAGCCCCCAAAAGCCCTTTCAATGGAAAGTTAGTAGTGGTTATAGAACTCCTTGTCTAATATCAGGGACGAGTAAGTGTCCCGTCTCTCCAAGCACAGAGGCACCAAGAAGTGTCCATGATTGCCAAAGGAAGATGTGGACAATCAGCTCAAGTCTAAGTCCCCGTGTGTCCTAGCTGATCTTCAGCTGCATGCAGCGATCTACAGGACTTTAATGGTTTAGCTTAAAAGTTTCCAGCCTTCTTTGCTCTCGTGAGTTTTTGATGTGTAAGAACTGTGACACACCAGTACGGCCGGGAGCCAACTTTCTCCTTTCCTTTCTTCATCCCCACTCCCGCCCCAACAATGGTCTCATGGTGTAGCACTGGCTGGCCTGTGCCACCATGTCCAGGTTTCTCTGCGTAGCCCTAACTGTCCTGGGACTCACTTTGTAGGCCAGGCTGGCCTTGAACTCACAGAGATCCGCCTGCCTCTGCCTCCTGAGTGCTGGGACTAAAGGCATGCGCCACCACCGCCTGGCCCTATTCTCAGTTCTTTATTTATTATGTATACAGTATTCTGTATTGTGTGTATGCCAGCAGGCTAGAAGAAGGCACCAGACCTTATTACAGATGAGCTACCATGTGGTTGCTGGGAATTGAACTCAGGACCTTTGGAAGAGCAGGCAATGCTCTTAACCGCTGAGCCATCTCTCCTGCCTCCTTTTCTCAGTTCTTAAGAATTCTTTGGGCACTGGTTTAGTGGTTCATGGTTGTAATATCAGCACTTGGGAGGTTAAGACTGGAGGATGGCCACAAACTTGAGGCTAACCTGGTCTACATAGTGAGTTCTAAGTCATTTGGGACTACAGAATGAGGCAGTATTCCAACACAAAACAGTCTCCATGGCACCGCTGTGTACTCTAGACTGGCCTTGGGTCTGAAATCCCATGGTGAAGAAACCTGCTGAAGACTGAGACACCCTGCCTCTCCAGTGGTACCACCAGAATCCCCTGGACCTGCCAGACACAGGGGGGTAACTGGACCAGCTGGCCCCAGGCCACCCAGCTGCTTCATCTTTCCTTGTTTGGGGACAGACTCTCTTACGCAGCCCCAAAAGTATTGAAACTTGTTATGTAGACCAGGCTAGCCTAGAAATTACAGATCTATCTGCCTGCCTCTGCTTCCCAAGTGCTGGGATTAAAGATGTGTGCCACAATGCTCTGCCCAAATGAGGCTTTAAAAAAAACAAACTTTAATTTTGGATTTTTATGGTGGCATTCATTCCATGTGTGTGTACATGTGTTTGTGTGTGTATATACCACTGTTGCGGAGGGCAGAGGTCTGTTGGGCATCTTCCTTTTTTGCTCTTGAAGGTAGAGGCAGAGGTTGAGGAGTTCAAGGCCAACCTCGATTACATAGAGAATTAGAGGCCAGCTACGTGAGGACTTAATCTCAAAAAATCAAAATCTGGTCCAGCAAGATGGCTCAGCAGGTAAAGGTGCTTGCTGTCAAACCTGATGACCTGAGTTTGATTCCTGGAACCCACACGGTAGAAGTAGAGAACTGACTGACTCCCCCAAAGTTTTCAGACTTCCACATGTGTGTGTCCCATTCCCATAATATATAAAACATTTAAAAGACAATTGGTGAAACTCAATCTTCCGGGCTTCATGCACCTCCCTCCCAGCAGAGCTCAGAGCTATTTCTCTTACCTTGCTGGTGAGACTGGACTTCTCGGATCTCCAGGTCATGGGTCAGTTCTGGGGAAGAGAGAATAGAGGGGTTTGTGTGTGCACAGTAGGTGTGTGTGTCAGGAAGTCACAACTGAGTTAGTGGAAGGGCAGACCCGCAGACACAATCTCTACTCCCGCTACAGCTGCTTCGCATCCCAGCAAAGGCAAGAGTCATGTTGAAGGCAGACAGCCTGGGCCCGGGGATTCCAAGCCCAGAGATCTTTCTAGCAAAAGCTTTGTGCCTAGGCTTGGGTACAGAGACTACCTTTGTGGGCAGAAGAGCCTGGCTTGTTTAGGGGATAAGGGGGTGTTTGCCTTTTCCTAAGGGGTGATATGGTTGTGGAGGACTCTTGTGACCTATGCAAGCTTAGTTGCTTGATGAATGCTGCAGTGCCCAGAGATACTTGAGGAGCAGCGGAAATGGACAGAAGCTATTTGCTAAGCTGAACACATGTGACACTAATTTCATAGCCAGTATTGTACCTGTATTACTGCCGGGAGATCCCGACTGTTTCCTAAACACCATGTGACCACTATGCAAGAAGGGCTTAAGGAGGACAGCGCCACCTAGTGGTGGAAGATGTACCAGGTATTGGTTTGGTGTTGGAAGGGGAGGGACTTCCAAGCTAGCGAATGCAACCACCAAGGTCACTGGCATAGGACAAAGTTCTTCCGGGTGCTGGTGGCCCAGCTATCTCCATACCTCTGCTTATTTTTCTTCAACTCAATTTTGGTGCTCCCAATGCCCCCTCCATCTCTCAGGGCATCTGTTATTTCAGCCCCACCTCCTGTCCCCTATCTCCTAGAGTTCGGACCAGGCAGGAGTGTACAACTCAATGACACAGAAAATGCTTAGCACTCCTGGTTCTGGGTGCTAATTCTCACAGCACTGGAGGCAGTGTGCTGGGCTGGGCAAAGGACAGAAGGAAGCCGGGAGCACCTGCATATACCTTCAGGGATGAAGTGTAGAGTCCAAAGAAAGGAAGTGGCACCTCTCTGGGACGGCTGCCCATCATCTCCCAGACAGGCAGGCCTGTGGCCTTAGTCTGCTCCCCTGGGACCAGGGGCTTTGCTAGAAGTACCCTCTCTGGGGAAATCACTTGTTGCTGGGACACGGAAAGCTCTGGGTACCTTAGCTATGACCGGAGCCTGAACCTCTTCCCTGGAGGCCTCTGAGGCCTCCATCCCTAGAACTCTTTGGAACCAACTCCTCCCTTCCTCCAAGGTCTATGAAATGGCCTAAGGGACCTTGGCTCTGCCACTAACTTCTCAACGGCTGACTTCTTTCAACCATTAACCACAGGACTGAGATATGAGGAGACAGAATCCCAGCTGGGCTCCACACCCCCATCTTCCTCTTTGTATGTGTATGTGTGTTTTAGATAGGATCTCACTATGTATTCCTGGCTGTTCTGGAACTTGCTCTGTAGACCAGTCTGGCCCTGAACTCACAGAGATCCCTCTGCCTTCTATGTTCTAAAGTTAAAAGTGTGTGCCACTATGCCAGGCTTCCTTCATCTTTCTCGACCCATCTTCTGATGAGAATCCTTGCAGGTTATATAAACATTATATGAAATCAGCACATAGTAGGGTCCTGGACCAGTAAGGATACTTCTCTGAACCTTAGTTTTCTCATTTGGAAAATGGGCACAAAACAGCACCTCTCTTACAAGGGTCTGGTGCCAGGATGCAATGGAAAAAAACAGAGGATTTAGCTTAGGGCTAGGTCAGCACTTAAGGCTCAGGGGCGCTTCTCATTAGCCAGGCTATCCCATCAGCCCAGAATTTACTTCTACTTCTAAGACCCATGTTCTCCATTTTCATCTGGCTTTCCAGGCAGCCTGCCCTCGAATCCCCTTCAGGCTCCTCCCTCTTTTTCTCTGTTTTCTCTGCACTTCCCACTGGAAGGAGGTCTGAACTGGTCATTTCAGTCCCCAGAGTGGCGGTTCCAGACAAGACCAGAGTTATTTTTATCTCCTTAGTCAATAACCAGGAGGCTCCAAGCCCAGGCTCACCTGAGAGCCAGAGAGGGCTAGAGGGCCCTCGAATCCTGCCCATCATGTTGTCATGGGAACTATCCTGTGTCCAGAATGGAAAGACCCAGGTCTTCAGAATTAGGGAAAAACAAGAAGAAATGAGAGGATCTGCGGTAAGATTTTTGAGTCTCCTGTTTTCCTCTGATACTGTCCTTGTGATAAAAAAAAAAAGTAGCCTCCGGGGGCCATCCAGTCACTGGGGAGATAGATGGCCAGGAGCCTAGCTTGGAATGGAGCAAATGGATCTATGTCTAGACTGCTCACGTTCTGTTAACACGGAGAGCTGAGCGGTTCACTCAAGCCTCCTAGCTTTGGGCAAACAGAGAGGTAGAGAATGTTCAGAAAACCGCACAGCTGCTGGTTTTAATTCTGGCTGTAACACTAGCATATGTTGTATGACTTTCTCTCTCTGGATCTTGGTTTATCGCTTTCACAGTAAAGAAATTGGAGCCTGGTGATGGTGCACGCTTTTAATCCCAACATTAGGGAGACAGAAGCACGTGGATTTCTGTGAGTTTGAGGTCAGCCTGGTCTACATATTGAGTTCCAAGACAGCCAGGGCTACACAGTAAGGAGGAGGAGGAGGAAATACATAAATAGATTAGCAGGAAATTGGGTTCTCCCAACTGACACATCCCTCGAGCACAACAGCCTGCATTGGAGCTAAGTGTGGTGGCTTATATTTATAATCCCAGCACTTTTGGGGCAGAAAGATTAGAAGTTCAAGACCATCCTAGGCTACTTAAGGAGTTCAAGGCCAGCCTGGGCTATGAGACTTTGTATCAACAAACACACATCAAGCCTACATTTGGAGATACGTGAGCACTTGGGTCACAGTCCTGTCTCTGAATGGCCTGGGCACTTGAGGCTGTAGACCCAAGCACAGAAGCCAGCTCTGACATTTCCATCCACTCTTTTCCTTCCTCTTCTCTGCTCGCGAATGTGATCAACTGATGGGGGAGTGTCATATCAATCTGTTGATTTCATTGGTTAAGCAATAAAGAAACTGCTTGGCCCTCATAGGTTAAAACATAGGTGGGAGGAGTAAACAGAACAGAATGCTGGGAGAAAGAAGCTGAGTGAGGGAGTCGCCATGATTCTCCCACTCCAGGCAGACACAGGTTAAGATCATTCCTGGTAAGCCAGTTCTTGGGCTACATAGATTATTAGAAATGGGCTAGTCCAGGTATGAGAGTTAGCCGAGAAAAGGCTAGATGTAATGGGCCAAGCGGTGTTTAAAAGAATACAGTTTCCGTGTAATTATTTCGGGGCATAAGCTAAGCTAGCCATGTGGGTGGTCGGGTGCCGGGACGCAGCCCAGCTGCTCCTACTACAACAATCAACTGTCAGGCCCTTTTCCTTCCAGCCGTTTCCCACTAGCTCTTTGCCTCTCCCAGAGCCTCCCATCAGCATCACCACACATATCTAGCCTCTCTCGGCCACAGTTCACCGTCTCTGCTGTGAGACCAGAAGTGCTGAAGGAGAAGCATCCAGCTGCTCCAAACCGTTCACTGGTTCTTTTTTTTTTTTTTTTTTTTTTTTTTTTCCGTTCACTGGTTCTTGTTCTCTACTGCCCAAGGGGACAAGACAAATTCGCAGCTCTCCCTGCATTTGTCAGGGTCTCCAGGATCTGCCTCCAGCTGGATTTCTTGGTTTCTTTCTTTCTTTCTTTCCTTCCTTCCTTCTTTCTTTCTTTCTCTTTCTTCTTCTTCTTGCTTCTCAGTTTCTCCTTCCTTCCTTCCTTCCTTCCTTCCCTCTCCCCCTCCCCTTCCCTCCCATCTTTTTCTGTTTTCTTTTTGAAACAGGGTTTCTCTGTGTAGCTCACTGCCCTGGAACTCACTCTGTAGACCAGGCTGATCTTGAACTCAGAGATCCAACTGCCTCTGCCTCCCAACCAGAGTCTGGCTTCTTATGGTCTCTTCTAAGCACAGTTTTATCCGACTTCCTGGCCTTTGCCATGCTGGCCCATTTACCTGAATGGTTTTTTCACTTCCTTCCCATCACCTGCTGGTATGTCTGCATTGCAAACAACTATCCGGGGAGATGGTATGCTCCCTCTTAGGATGGAGGTGCTTACCCTTCACCATCTTGCTCAGACGGACTGTCATCCTGAACTCTTCTTGGCCCTACTTCCCAATGTGTGTTTATTTTCACGTGTGTGATGCTGGGTATAGAACTCAGGGCCTTGTGCACATGGTGGGTAAGTACCCCAACGCTGAGCCACACTCCAAGCCTTCTGCTCTGTCTCTCCAGTCTGAGACAGTCAGTTTCCTACCTGAGCTCCTGAAGGATGACAGGAATCCCCTGGAACTGGTTCCTGGATGCCTGACCCACTACCTCAGCAGGGTCCTCAGCCTTAAAATGTTTAGGTGTGGGGAAGTGAGGAAAGGGTCTCATGTAGCCCAGGCTGGCCTAGAACTTACTAAACATCTGAGTCCTAACTTTACTTTCCCCATTCCACAATACAGTCATGTCACCTCCGGCTCATCTCTAGAACCCGCTCCACTCAAGTCATCCAGAAAGAGGCAGGACAGAACGTATTAGGCTCATAGGAACTCAAGGAGGGGCCTCCCACCAGAGAAACCGACGATGGTGACAGTGACCCCCCTCCTCACTCCAGCCCCCTGGGGTAAGTGCTAGCCTCACCTGAGCAGCGCTTTTGCAGCCTCAGGATCTCCAGGTGCAGGTCTCGAAGCAGGGCCATCTGCTCCTTTTTCAGGAAGCTGATGTGGCGTTGCACGCTCTGGATCTGATGCTCCAGGGACACGGTATCCATGGCAGCCCAGGCCTGGGCCTCACCTGGATGAAAGGCAAGATAAAACCATGTCTTCAGAGGCCATTTGCCTGCCCCACCTTCAGGTTCTGTCCTTCACGCTAGGTCCTCTTGACTCCAGGGAGAAGATTCCCACTCCAGCTTCCTCTACTAGCTTTCTTGAACACTGAGTGAGAATGTCCTCAGAGAGGTTGCTCTTCCCATTCAACAGGCTAAGAAGCAGAGCCCAGGGATGCCCTGGCTTCGTTTTCCTGCCTTTTCTCCTTCTCAGACAGGCAAATAAGTTGAGAAGTTGGCTAAGACAGGAAGATAACTTTGGGTCTAGCCTTCACTAATGTCTCACATGTGGCCACCTCTCTCTGAGGTCTTAGCTTTCCATAGGTCAATAAGGAATCTGACAGCTATGCTCAGAGCAGCATTATGACTAATAGCCAGAACCTGCAAACAACCTAGATGCCCCTCAACTGAAGAATTGATGGAGAAAATGTGGTACATTTACACAATGGAGTATTACTCAGCTATAAAAAACAATGACATCATGAAATTTGCAGGCAAATGGATGGAACTAGAAAATAATCATCCTGAGTGAGGTAACCCAGACCCAGAAAGTCAAACATGGTGTGTACTCACTCATAAGTGGATATCACTTTATGTAACATAAAGGAAAACCAGGCTACAATCCATAGCCCCAGAGAGGTTAGGTAACAAGGAGCGCCCAAGAGAGACACATGGATTTCCCTTGGAAGGGGAAATAAGAGATCTCCTGGGTGGACTGGGGATGGGTGGGCATGGGAAATTAAGGGAGTGGATTGGGCAGGTTGAGGGAAGGATGGGGGGGCGGTATTGAAAGAGACGTCTTGATAGAGGGAGCCATTTCAGGGTTAGGAAGAAACCTGGTGCCAGGGAAACTCCCAGAAATCTGCAAGAATGACCCCACCCAAGACTCCTAGCAATAGTGGAGAGGGGCCCTGAGCTGGCCATTTCCTGTAATCAGATTGGTGACTACCCTAACTGTCATCAGGGAGCCTTCGTCCAGCAACTGATGGAAACAAAGGAAGAGAGCCACAGCTAAGCACTGGACTGAGCTCCAGGAATCCTGTTGAAGAGAGGAAAGATTGTGTGGGAGCCAGAGGGGTTAAGGTCACCACAAGGGAACCCACAGAAACAACCTGGGGTCATAGCAGCTCACAGATTCTGGACCAACAGTCAGGGAGCCTGCATGGGACCAACCTAGGCCCTCTACCTATGTGTGGCAGCTGTGTAGCATGGTCTATTTGTGGAACTCCTAGCAGTGGGATCAGGACCTGTCCCTGAAGCTTGAGCTCAACTTTGGGAATCTATTCCCCACATTGGTTTGCCTCACCCAGCTGCAATACAAAAGGAGGAGCTTAGTCCTACCTCAACCTGATATGCCATGCTTTGTGGACACCCATGGGAGGCTTGCCCATTCCTGAACAGAAACAGAGGAGGAGTGGATGTGGGGGCAGTGGGGAGGTGGGGGTAGGGAGGGAACAGGAGGAGAGGATGGAGGGGAAACTGGTTGGGATGTAAAATAAATGAATTTAATTAATAAAAAGGTGATAAACCCTGAAATCTGGTCCAATTATGACTCCCACTTGTACCTCAGCCCTAGAGCTTCTTTGAATCACCGAGGAAAGAGAGTCCTGAGAGGTAGCACAGGCTAGCCTCGAACTCTCCACATTCCCATCTCTGACTTTGGAGCGCTTCAGTTACAGGTGTGTGTGGTTGTGCCTGGCTCACAGGAGGAAGGGAGAGCTGAAGAGCTGCTTACTAACGTGTCTCTCTGGGCTGAAAACAGGAGGCAGAGTCACTCTGTATAGATGAATGGGAGCTAAGATCAGAAGACCCACACTGTGGATCCCATGGTGACAGAGAAGCACGCACCTGAATCCTACTCATGATGGCCAGATTCCTGGAAAAGCCAAAGTGGACGCAAGCGCTCTGGGGTCCAGGACCTAGAACCCATGTCTTCTCTGCCAGCCACTCCCTAAGCTACTTAATTATTTTGGGTAATAGAGCTTACATTATGCTGCCCAGGCTAGCTGTGAACTCTTACGCCCAATGGTCCTCCTGCCTTCTGAGTAGCTGAGATTACAGGCATGGGGCATTATATTGACCCTCCCCCAAAGTTTTGCTTAGAAAATGCCCAGGTTACCAACACTGGAAGAAGTAAGACCAGGGCACCAGCATCCCTGAACTACTTTAGCGTAACTGCGACACCTGCTAGCCAGCATTGTCATTACACCTTAAACTCTCAGTAGCCACTTAAACCAGCCAACCAAACACTCGCTTCATCTGATGGTCAATCAACATTATTACACCTACAGCAATTTTCTGAGAATTTCAACATACATAAGTTATCTGATAATTTTTTTTTGCAATTTGTAAACCATTCATAAGGTAATAGTAGATAATATCACCATCCAGGAATTTAAAAACCTTTTCACCTCTACTCTAGAGGGAATGCTAGAAGAGGAATATGATCTACCTGGGGTATACACATTCTTAGCCATTGCTGCTATTGGTTTGATACTTCATATTATATCTTTAAAGAAATGGTTTGATAACAGAGTCAAGAATGAGAAACTTTTAGAAATGATACAGACTTTACAGATTAGTAATGAGAAGTTGGCTGAAAAGATTCATACCATTGAAATCGATAACCATAATTTGACGGGCAAAATTCACTCCATGTCAGTGGGTTATGAAATCTTACAGAGGGTACTGAGCAGTTATCTGAAAGGATTCATACTGTGGCAATTGACAATCAAAATCTGATAAAAAGTTATGGCAAGCCAGCAGACAGAACATCCCTCCTGGAAGACAATCTGTAGGCCATCCAAACAATCTCTAAGGATGAGAATATGTCATTAATGGAAAAACTTAAAGACTTGGAATCATATGTACATGATGAAAACCACAGATTAATTGATTTGAGGAAATCATTAGAAATACAGGTCAAGAAATTCAGACTCTACAAAAGACAGTGATACACAGATTTGAAAGCACTGAAGAACTTGTCAGAACTGATAAACACAGAGATGAGGTACAATCAAAAGACAATAGCAAAGACTTAACATCACCAGTACCTCTCAGAGTCAGAGATGACTTACCAAGAGTTTTAGATACTTATTCTGTTACTAGTTCTGAAAAGCCAGCAAATAGTAAATATCAAATAGGATATACAGAATGGGCACCTATATGTATGAAGATCTAAAAGATATTAAGGAAGCAGTTGTTTCTTATGGCATGCATTCACCTTTTGTGAAGCAAATGTTTAAAAAACTGTGGTCAGTTTGTAATAGAATTAACTCTAACAACTGGATAGATTTGGTTAAGGGTGCTTAATTGCCTGGTCCACAATTACAATGGAGTACCTGGTTCAGAAAAGAGGATAAGATTATTGAAAAATGGAGTAAAGCTAGAGGTAGGGAAATCTCCCTAGATTAAATTCTTAGAGAAGGAGAATAGGCTACTATAGAAAGGCAAGCTGTAGGAGATGACCACACCCTAGATTTATGCCACACAGAAACTTTGAATGCTTGGGACAGAATTAGAGAAGTAGGAAAGAAAATTGAGTCATTTACTAAAGTTATACAGGGCCCAAAGGAAGTCTTTGCAGGTTTCTTACAAAGATTGACTTCAGCAGTAAAAAGAATGATACCAAATTCAGAAGCTAAACAAATAATAATCGAATCCCTGGCTTTTGAAAGTGTCAATTCTCTATGTGAAAGGGTAATTAGTCTGTCAAAGGCAAGGTCAGCACCTATGGAGGACTGGATTTGAGACACAACTAATATTGAGTCTCATGAGCATGATGATGCCTGGATAGGAGAGGTGATCCAGAGATCTGAGGAATAATGGAAATGAAAAATGTTATAATGTGGAAAACAAGGTCACCTTAAAAGGGATTATAGACAGGGCATTCCTAGAAACAATGTTTTTTTCTAAGAATAATCCATCCAGAATGCTACTCCCTTCAGAATTATGTGGATGGTGTGGCAAAGGCAGGCATTGGACTAATGAATGTAGGTCAATGAGAAATATTCTGGTAATCCTTTGCTGTTGGGAAACTCCATGAGGGGCCTCTCATAGGCCCCTATGCCAAATTTGGTTCAGTCATTTCCTGCCATCATAGAGGAAACTCTTTCCCAGAGCAATTAAAGAACCTAATGCCTATTGTAGAAGAGAGAACAAAAAATTCTGAAGAAACCATAAAGTGAGTATTTTGGTAAACTTTCTTTCTTTCTTTCTTTTTTTTTTTTTTTTGGTTTTTCGAGACAGGGTTTCTCTGTGGTTTTGGAACCTGTCCTGGAACTAGCTCCAGTAGACCAGGCTGGTCTCGAACTCACAGAGATCCACCTGCCACTGCCTCCCGAGTGCTGGGATTAAAGGCATGTGCCACCACCGCCCGGCAGCTGCTGATATTTCAAAGGCACCAACAGCCCAACCTTTAAAATGGTTGACAGATGCAGGGTGGTGGTGGCGCATGCCTTTAATCCCAGCACTCGGGAGGCAGAGGCAGGCGGATCTCTTTGAGTTTGAGGCCAGCCTGGTCTACAAGAGCTAGTTCTAGGACAGGCTCCAAAGCTACAGAGAAACCCTGTCTTGAAAAAACAAACAAACAAACAAACAAACAAAAACCCCAACAACAACAACAAAAAATGGCTGACAGATAAACCTATATGGGTTAAGCAATGACCTTTAACAAAAGAGAAACTTCAGACTTTAGAACAGCTGATACAGGAGCAACAAGATGCTCAACATATTGAAGAGTCAACCTGCCCTTGGTAATCTTCTGTATTTGACTTCACAGTGCCTACTTATAATAATCCTCAGCCTGCTAAAAGATATCAATGGAAGGTTCTCCCATAGTGAATGTTAAATAGCCCCACTCTGTGCCAATATTTTGTAAGTCAGTCATTGGAAATGATACGTGAGCAATTTCCTTAATCTATAGTTTACCATTACAGGATGACATTTTGCTATCTGATTCAAATGTACA